ACTATAAAGATAACAAGGCTGGACTATGAAAAATGTCTTCAATCCAAACCAGGGAAGTTTTCCTCTGCGTCGATGAAGTATAAATCAGTTTCTTACTACGGCTTCAATATTTTCTTTGACCAACCCGTTTCTTTGAAAAAGGGTGTCGAGTACCGTGTCGAGGCTTCTATCTCTGGGTCCAATTCTTGTTTTGGTCAAAATGGTCAAGATAATGTGCTTTGTTCAGGCGTTAGATTTAAATTTAGATCAAGTAGTTATAGTACCAATGGAACAAACGTTGAACGAGGACAATTTTCTGAGTTTCTTTTTACCGTAAAATAAATGCAAGTGTTCTTCTTTTAATTTACCAAGCACAGAAACGCTTAATAACCAGTTCAGGTCAAATTTCTGCGTGGAATTTATTTGAACTGTCCGTTAATCAGTGAGTACACTCGTTTTTGTTTGCTTTTTGTTTTTATAAGAACGTCTAATGTTGGTGCTGAGGTTGAATAAAGTTATATTTTTTTATGATTTGAGGCTGAAAACGTTCTTAAGATGTTCTTAAATTTACTTGGCATTCACTATTTCAATAAATCAAAGCTGAGAGAATTTAAGGTCAACTACCTTGATGACACTTAGGACTTTATATCACCTGATGACTTTGATGGTGCGGAAGTTATTTTGGAACAGTTATAAGAACTGCTGATTATTACAAATTGAGATGTTTTTCATGCAATAACAAAACCATTGTTAATGTTATACAAAACATGCCCTTAAGTATTTAGGTTAATTTACATTTTTTGCTACCTTTATTTTATGCCTGTCATTTAATATACAGATTAGCAAAAGAAAAATGTTCTTAATCGACTCTCAGCCTGAGGAATGTTCTTAGTACGTTATTAAAATTTTGGTTAATCTCAACCTCAACGTTCTTATAAAAAAAGGTTCTTATAAAAAAAAAGCAGTGTAGCTGGTTATTGTGAATGTCGAACAGAGCAAAGCGCCTCTTATTTCCTAGATTCAGTCAGGCTGAAACATGAATGATCAATGTTTCTTTTATATATTGCCAGGGGAGATTTCAGATTTGTTTTAACTTGCTAACGTGAAAATGGTTTGTTATCTAAGCTTACGTGTATAATATATGTAACTGTAGTGATATTGATTAATGTCACGTAATAATATTTGTACAATATCCTTTTACTTTATGGCTGCACGAGTTTTTTTCTGTTTTTCATGTCATTTGTTTCAAAAGCACATGTTTTCCTGACATTAAAATTAACCAAGTATCCTTTTTGAGGTGTACACAAAAACTAGTGAAAACCGACGAGCAATCAGAATTGTTGGTAATTTTGAGTAAAAACTTCAGAATCACCTAACTTCACTAACATTCAAAAGGACTGTATACTTCCTTGTCTACCTCCAGAAACATGGCATCAAATATTTATAACTAACAGTACTTACACTGGATGATTTAGTCAAAAGACGTAAGCCTCATCACACCTTTTTGTTGAAACATG